GAGAAAGAAAACGGCGAGCGGCCCGCGGCTATCTTCTCCCCCTCCCGGAAAACTCACCAGGGAGGGGGCAGATCCTCTGGCTCCTCGGGGGTCTCTCTTCTGGCTCCTTCGGGGGTCTCCGAAGCCCCCCCTCTACCCTTCTTCCGCTCCATTAGTGCGGAGCTAAAGGACAACGTCCACCATCATGCAGACATGCGCATTTTAATTACATAAGAACTTAAGTTATCAACATTTCTATATTTAATAGATATAGAAATATCTATATTCTTTCTTTGTAAAGCTTTTTTTGCATCATTTGGATACTTATTTCTAGTATATTTAATTAACTGGAGCAAAAAAAAGAAGGAAAATTAAGGAGATTGAGAAAATACTGTAATCCAACATCAATAGTGCTTCCCCAACTCCATGAGATTAGATGTGTCTTTACCTTATTGCAGTACTCAATTGCTTTAGTGTATTCCCGTAGCTTTAAGTAGCACATAGCAAGGTTGAGGAAGGCTGCCAACAATAAAGATTCTGAAGCTTTAGATTCCCTTTCTGATAAGCCATATTCCATTTCTAACCAGGATACAATCTTTCCATACTGAATTACTGCTTGCAAGTACTTGCCTTCCTAAGAATAAGATTAAAAAAGGTTAAAGATGAGTAGTACATTGAAAAGTGGAACATATTTATTTCTTAAATGTGGGTTATAATTTGAACAATTAGTAATAGAAGAATGAGGGGAAAGGGGAACATTTCAGTCGGAAAGAAGTGGCCAAGTTGCAATTAAAAATTTTAATACCAGAAAGCTGTAATATCAATTGCCTCTGTTTTGGCTATATTATGACAGATCAACACTTACTGGACAAGAATTGTTCAGAAGCTCCCCAAATCAAAGCTTAGAGACAGTCCTACTTTTAAGAAAGCTATATATCATTGAAAGGTAAAGACAAAGGTGGATGTTAAGAAAGAGAGATTCTCTGAGCAAATAAATAAACTACAGATGGCTTATCAATAGAAGACATGTTTTTTCATGCTAGCATTGCTAGAATATTGACACATACCTTAAAATACACAGTCCCTTTTTCTTTGACAATGGCAGCCTGTTCTAGCTTCTCTTTGGTGTCCATCTCCCAGGATTCTTTGGCCTATAACCAAGTATTTATAGTAGTAATCAAATAACAGAAAGCGACATAATACTGGAAATCTAATTTATACTGTGTGACATAGTAAGATTTGTCGACTCTTGCTAATTTCAAATTTAATGTTACTTAATCCCAATAAAGAGTCTTTTTAAACCACTGTAAAAGTTAATAGCAAGCAATAAAATAATTATATATAAAAATATTCACGAATTTATATTTGGCTTTAGAAGTAAGGCAGAGTGAAATTTGAAGTAGCCCCATATTGATATCATTGATATTTCCTTTCCAGACCAAATTATATTCGGCTCCACTTAAATCTGTCCTGAAGACAGAGGAGTTAAAAAATATGAAAGGATAATCCAGAATCACTAAAGCAGCCTATACAATTCTCCTGAGGCTAGACAGATTTCTTTCATTTCAGTTTCCTTCCTGTGAACATTTCCCATTATAGATTGGCATCAATGCTCCACCTTATGTACATCTTGTTCCTTCCCTGTACTTTACAGAGATGGTACATTCTCCATCACCCTAAAAAGGGCACAGCCTGTTCAGCAATTTTGCCCTGCCCTCCTTTCAGTACTGTTTGGCAGGACATTTTTTTTTCTATAACCAGAAAAAGAAGTACAAAAGGAACAAGCCTAGGACAAGTCTTGGACCCCACCCAAAACAATAAAACACACACAAGAACACTGTGATCCTAGCTGACATATCTTTACCAACTTTTGTGACAAACATGCCGGATGGAGCTGGAAATGGGTCTTCCTAAATGTATTCACTGTAGAAATGTTCCTGTGAGTAAACATCCAATGTGTACAGGATGGTTTGTTATTTGAAGAAATTCTATTCTCACCTTTTCAAAGCTTTTCAATGTAACTTCATACACAAGATCAGCATTTGGTTCTATGCCAAATACAGGCTTTCCAGCTTCACCAAACCCATATCTAAAACAAAGCATGGGAAAAAAATAACAACAGAAATGACACAGAATAAGGCACGTTATTCAGCATTCTGGATATTTACACTCACAGGCAGATAATTGGTTAGCTACATATCAGGCCCTGGAGACAAAACATAGGTTGCCTAGGAAACCAATGTCTGAGTAGCTCATTTGGGGCAAAACACTTATATACTATACTGGACTCAATGTTATTACTTTGTATTCAAATTGGAAGCATTCTAGTGCATTCTATTCAATTTTTCACGCACTTGTTATCCTTTAATGTTTTTCAAAATCTTGAAATTACACTAAACACTGGATATGCAAATAGTAGGAATATTTGAAATAATTGCTAAATTCTATCTACACACTATTTAAATATCGTTTTAAATATATTTAAAAAGAAATGGTTTATTCTAAAACAATTTACATTATGTAACAGTGATGGTGAACCTTTTAGAGACCGAGTGCCCAAAAAACTGGCCCCGCCCCCGCTCCACCCCCACTCTGCCCCCCCATGCCCCACCCCGCCTGCCCAGGCAGCCCAGCAGTGCTATAGCGGCCGCATCCTCTGCCCGCGCATGCCCTGCAGCATCAACTGCATGATAGGGTGTGATGGCAGAGTCTTGTCTATGCTGCCTGGCTGCCATGTCCTTGGCTGCGCTGCTCCGTGTGGGCCACGCTTGAGGGCGACTCTCCTTCAGGGGGGCTGCTGGAGAGGAGGGAGCCGCAGGGGGAGGCAAGGCTGGGGCAACAGCACGTGTGCCCAAACAGAGGGCTCCGAGAACCGCCTCTGGCACCCGTGCCATAGGTTCTCTACCACTGTTATATAATAATCTTACTGTCCAGGAATGGTGTTAAGTATAAATGGGATCTACTATATATAAATGCTATGTAAAAATAGAATGAGAGTCAGGTTGTTGTAGTGGTTAAATGTATCAGGCTAGAAACTGGGAGACTGGGAGATCTAATCTAATCAATTTATGATTTTGGGCCACTCACTTACTGAGTCTAGGAAGGAAGCAACGGCAAGCCACCTTTAAAAGTCCCGCCAAAAAAACCTGTATAGGCTTCTCCAGGTTGACACTGGAAGCCAAGACTTGAGTTAAAGGCACCAAATAAATAAATGGAGGGGGGAGACAAACATCCCCCCACATTTCTTACTGTGTTCCTATATGCAAGATACAGTGTTCTCCCCTTTGCATCTTCTCCAGAGCTTTGTCAATTCCAATGGGAATGTCATGGTCTTCCCCTTCTCCAACAGTGAATGCTACATCTCTACAATCAAACATTCTGCCATCGCAAAACCCTTTCAAGTGGACTATATGGGACAGAGAAAAACAATGTGGACTGTAAGGCACTACCAACAACATTTCAATATGCATTAAACAGCATGACCAAAACACATTATTTGTTGGCATTCTTGTCTTCAGCATGGCTGGCATAGCAGAAGAACTTGGTCCCAAAACAAACTTCAAAATCATATTGTTTTTGACTTTTTCCCTATTTCTAAAATGGGACCATGCTTAAACTGATTGCTGTTAACTTTTTTTAAAAAAAAAAAACTAGATAAATTTTATCTATTTATTTATTTATTTATTTATTTATTACATTTATGTGCCACCAATCTCATCTAGAGGCAACTGTTCTTAGCCTACAGAACTGAAGACAAGTTTACTCACATTGTGGGCCAGTTCTCTGAGGCAATGGTGTGGACATGGCAACTCTCAGTATCAGGCAGCAAAATCCTGCCTGATTTTGAACCCAGACTGGAATTCAGTGCTGCAAAAGTTACTACCATTCTGCCTGAACACAAAAAGCTGCCAAATGGCATTGCATTACATTGGCAGGATATAATTTCTTTGGTACTTTGAGAACATGGTGAATTTAGATAGGAGCAAGGACTGAAAGGAGTAATTTACCTTTGTTGCCAGGCAAAGTATTACGTCTCTGTTCTATCAATGTTGTGAACAATCCATCAATTGTTTGCTTTATGATAAGTACTATAGATTATTATTACAATGCATAAATATTAATAGTTTCTGTTTGTGTTTTCTTGTTTTGTAATGGAATGACAAATTACAAGATTTCAGTAATATTCTTAAAGAAACCTATGTGCAGATTCTAATAATTCCCTTTCCATTATAGCTCATGAAAGAAAAAGAGAAAATGTATATATGCTGCCTACAGTATCACTATGAAGGTCCATGCTTCTCTGGAGTATAGTCAGGATAAAAGAATATTATTTTTTTTTGCAATATTAGCACAAACTATTGCAAATGACTCAGAAATTTTTACAATTACACTTGCTAAGTAACATGCAAGAATAGGTATGGGAGTTTTTTCCTGCCTAAAAGCTAGATAAAATGTTATTAAGTTGTAGAATGCTGAAGAATACCACCCAACATAAATGTGATCCTAGATATAAAACAAAGTTATAAGATTAGTAACAAGGAATTAAGTGGTTGAGAATTCTGGTGTTCACTGACCATTAAAGCTGAGGAGGGTTGGACCTGATTAGAAACTGATTATAAGACTATCATGAAAACATCAAGGCCATAGGCTAGACTGGAAGTAGAAAACAATTTATGGAAGGAGGCAATTGTAAAATACTTCTGTTATGTTGCCCAAAAAATAACAATAATAATAATGGGAAGGCATCCAAATAGGGAAGGCTAAACCAGATTGTTGTTGACAGAAGTTATGCATCTGTGTATACGCATATGTAGGAACTGGCATTTATACATGCGTGAGAATGACTGGGCATGACCTCTCTCACCAACCCTTTCTACCCTCTTTTGCAATCTCCAAACACTCAGTATAATCCACCAATCCCCAAATTGGGAGTGTTAAATTATTCAAAGAATACAAATCCTGTATTCATTCTAAGCCAATAATGGGGCTATACAGATGGGCAAGATGTCTCTCAATGACTGTAAAGGGAAAAGCCCAATGGCACACTGGCATGACATGTTGTCAATATAGCTTAAAGCTTACGTCAAGTAAACATAGTAATTACTAACTGACGGTGTGTTCTACAATGGAAGTACACTAAGAAACTTGTAGTCATGTAATGGGCATGCTCAAGGTCAGGCCACCACCACAGGAGACTTACCTATCCATAAAAATGGTTTTCTTGGCCAATCATAAAATATTAATTTACTAAAAGAGGAACTATTCCCTTCCTCACCTGAGAATATAGGGTGCATTCTACCATTCTATTGGGATCTTGGTGGGTACAAATAGATCTAATAGGATATTTACTTATTTATTTTGGCAGCATTTATTTGTTTCTCTACATTTCATATTTCTGAACAATCCATCTCCCTCAGAGAGGGGCTCTGGACAATGTACAACATAATACCATCTCTCTAAAAATCATTTACAAAGCAATAAAGACAGGAAATCAGTAGAGATGCCTACGAACATTCCAGAACCCAAGGCACCAATTGCCTATCTCTGCACAATTCTGGTCTAACTTATCACCAACAGCAGGCCACATATGACGTCTAAACTAGAGATTAATCTATAGACTAGAATCTGCAAACAAATCCAGAACTGTATTTAGGCAACACTGTTCTAAATGCCTAGCACATTATCAAAAGTTTGTTCAATTGCCCATCATTCAATGTAACATTTGTACTCACAGTGTATTCCATACTTTTCAACCAAGGAATGCTAAAGACAGCTATCTTACATAAATAAAAGATTCAGGTCAATCAGCATGGTTTGAATTTAAGTGATGGAGTTTTACTCTGTTCTTTAGCTTACCAATGCCAGAATGTTTCATTATCATTAACATTGCTATTTGAGTGGTCCATGGATTAATTTTACATACACTGAGCATTTTTTCATTTTATTTATTTGCATTACTGACAATGTCCAACCTTCCCTGACAACTTTGCTAGCTTAAGCAATGTTTCAGGCATTTCATGAAAAAGTTTCTAGTCCAAGAATGTTCATAATACAACACTTTTATTTGTCCTTAAGGCCCTACAACCTCTTGTATTTGTATCCCGCGTAAAAATTAGTTGAATCCAAGTAATCCTTTGCTTCTCCCTTGTAATTTCTGACCCTTGGCCTTCACATACTGAAGTAAGTATTTTGTGTTCTAATAAAAACAATTGCCAATATAAATATAAAACAAATATAAAACTAAACAACCCTCTCTCCTTAAAAGCCTTTTGCACTGGAAGCCAACATTACGATTTTTAGGTATCTGTGGATCATCAAGTATGCATATCATGAAAAAATTGAGATGTAACAAGATGCCAGAAACTTAGCATAAAATGCTATAAAATAAAATTGGATGGGAATTCAAAACCACTTTCCACCAGAGATTTTGTTCACATAAACAAGGAGCTCAAGTTCTTTTGAAATGTGAGCTTCATTCCATTATTATTAATATACATTCTACATCTTACATTTTTTTCTTTCTATTTGACAATCTCTTGAGTACAATCTCTTATACTGCTGTATATCAATAGAAAAATATATTTTTCTGGATGGAAAAACAGAGCAAAAACCATGTCCATCTAATTGACTACTGTCTGTATAGTTTGGTAATATGATAAAAAGAATGTGGCTCTGAATTCTAAGAGCTCTCTCTTTATGTCTGAGAAACCACACTTTTTGCCACAGATACTTAAGATCCTTGGAGGTATGCTTTTCACTTTCCAAGTCCTGTCCTATGACTCTCCAATTGCTGGTAACAATTGTTTGTCTTCTGCAAAAACATAAAAAAGGAAATCCAAACAGTATTTTCCTTTTCTTGAGCAATGTGAATCTTCTTTCCAAGGTATACCATCTGAGGCAATATTTAGGTGTTGTGTATATTTTTCTGAAGTATGTAATGAGTGGCCTAAAGCAACATGAAACCTGTCTACAGTGATACATGAATGTCTTGCAGTACTAAAGTTGTTAGTGGCTGTGTCCCTGGAGCTAAGGGGTCAGAAATACTATGGCATCACCTTGTGTTACAATACTTTTGACCAGTAGACATGTAATCACCCTGTATTCTTAGGCAGCATATTGGGCTAGTGTCCAAACAGAATCTACTGGTAACTGTGAAGGAATTTCCAAAGATTCTAATTTATTATTTTAAAGACATTTCTATTTTCCGGGTATAATTTAGAGTATATGTTATGTACAACAATCTTCCTGATGTACAGTATCATCGTATATTATTGTTTTTGTAGAATTTATATGAGCTGTCCATTGAAAATAAGAGAAAAAGCAAAATATTTTGTATAACTGTAACTTGGCAATAAAATGTCATCCTAATTTTAAAAGATAGAAGTTCCATTCTTTGGCATTTAGAGTGAACTTTGAAGCTCCTTTTCCAGATAACAAAATGAGTTCTTGCAATGTTTTGTTAACTTTATAGTTTTCACTCAGTATTTTTATCAGGGGGATTTTGACTAGGAAAAAGTTTTATGTACAAATTTCAAAATAATTAGCTCATATATAAATATATTAGATATATACTAATTTGGGGGTGGTACCATTCTGTTCTGTGACAACAATCTTAATCACCTAAATTCACTCTTTGACAAAACGATTCTGCAGGAATTGTATAAATATAGTACAGGAAATAATTCCATAACATGATTATCAAAGCTTACTTAAATACTATCTGAAAGAGATCACTTGGGTTGAATTACACTTGGATTGCACAGTAAGAAATTCCAGCCAGACTAGGGAACATCAGTTCAGCTGTTGAGTTGACTTATTGTTCTCTCTGTGCCTAGAGCAATTTTGTTTTGAAGAGCACAGAACATTGTGTTCTTAATGTGGCTGGCACATGAACTCTGTGCACTGACAGCAATTTGTACAACTTGATTAAAACAGCAGAGGGCTGCATAGTAACTTGTAATGCAAATATCCAAGCACAGTCTGTGTTTTAGGAAGCATAGCAGTGAAATATGCCCTATCATTGAAGTTAATAAGACTGTCTTCATAAATCCTACCCTAAGATTTTAACACAACTACATGCATGTCCTAATTATAGTAATGACAGGAGTCTTTGAATTAGCTTCCTAGCTAATGCTGGGTTTTACTACAACTCAACAGAAACACTATCAGTTAATGATTGTTGTACAAGTTTAATCATCCACTTGTCTTCAAAATACAGTCAGAACTACTTTTCTGGTTTTCCGCAACCTGCTAGATTCATATTAAATCAATCAAAACATTTCCACTTCACTAGAGTTGTCAAGAAATCTGAAATGGGCTCTCAATCCAAAGACTTTTGTCTCCTAGAATAGAGAATTATAACAGACATATTTATTTATTTAGAAAATGTATATAGTCACCTACTCGCTCACATTGACTCTAGGTAGCTTACAATAAAAACATAGTATAGAAAACAAATAAAAAAATTTAAAAAACAATACCCCCCCCGCCTGGACGACAACACGCAGTCAAATAAGCCATTTGATGGTCTCCATCCCATTCTGGGTTCACTGGCAAAATATATTTACTTCCTTTGGAGCATCTTATTTCCCTGCCATTCATGACTTATTTTTAGGGTTGTTATCATAATTTTTGACTATACAGATACAATCTAGGTCAGAAGATGTGGAAACAATATGTTTCTCTGAATTGGCAATCCTGAGAAAGTGAATGACAGAAAACAAGGAGTTAGAATAGAGATGAATAAAACTCCAGTCCTACAGGGATAACAGCCTACATGATCAGGGAAGGAAGCAGATGGGAGGATGGGGGAAAGCTTAGTAACAGTGCATGGAGGACAGGCAGTCAACATCACCTCTTTTCTCTACAGTAATTTGTTTCCAAGATAAATCATTTTTTTAAAAAAAGATCCCCCTCCCAAAAGCAGAAAGCTAGCAAGGATGTGGAAGCACAATGCCTTGCCAGTTGTGGATGTGTGCACATGCAATAAGCTCCAGGAGGTTGATCAGGAGAAGCTGATGGAGACAGAAATAAAATAACAGTGAAAACTGGTAAAGATGTGATGGAAGCATCCCAAATTCAATCTGACAGTTCTACTGCTGTTACAGAGAAAGGATACCACTCTAAGGGAACATAAAATTATCCTTGAAAATAAGCAAATCCCATGGGAGATGGAAAAACTACAGACATCTTCATCTGGCAAGAATATGTCTGCCAGAAGCGTCTATGCTGGGATTTAATATTAGAAGCATAGTGTGATGAGTGTGATGTACACACTGCTCCTACAGGCATGAAGCCTGTTGATCATTACATGCAATCTAGATATTCTAACATAAGGAATGAAGAACCCTATTCCACAGCATCAGTAGAATATTATTCTTCCTAATGTCAATAATGTGTTGCCTAATAATTCTTTATAATTTAAAGAACAAGTTTATAAAAAGATAGACTATATTTTCCCGACTTTTTTTTTTCACAAGGGGGAGAAGAGAAGCCCTGGGAAACTCCAGCTTGATAAAAAAAAAAAGTGTGTTAGAAAATTTAACTAACCTACACTACTGTGCCTGGATCTTATCTTTTAGACATATATCTGAAATTATTCAATTGACTTTAGCTCCTATTTTCCATAAGCCTCATCGTTAATAAAGAAAGATGGGGGAGATGAGGTAATTGTTTTCTCAATTAATGGAAAATACTAACAAGTGGCTGACATGTGCTTTTCATTGGTTTATATATATATTTTTAAAAACAACTTTTTTGTGTGTCATTGGAGTTGCATGCTTCCCAAAGAATGTAGTTACTGGACATTTCTGAAGAATAGGCAAATAAACAATTTAAGATACCTATAAATATGTCTATCAATGATTTGTGGACTGGATTATATAATCAGGAAGAAAACATATTACATTATAGTAACCTTGCAATCATAATCTAAAGAAACCAAAAGCCATAATGGTGGGAATGATTTGCGATATTAGTATCTTGTTTTCTGAGGAATTCAAATTCAGCGCTAAAAAAACCCAGAAAGTGTGTAAATTGTAAGTATATGCTTTAGGGACCACTGTAGAATTTAGAGTTGATATACTTGTAGAGTTGTATCCAAAATCACAGGAAGGGAGAACTTGCAACACAATATTATTATTACTGTAACTAAGATGACATATCACCAAACTTTTGCCTCAACAGATAACCTTTCTCTTTTTAATATTTTAACACATACGCACATACAAACAGAGAAAAAGAATATCCACCCTTCCAACTCTGTTATTCTGCTATATAATAGATTACAAATCAGAAATACTATTCATATATTATGGGGGTGACAGGATAGAGAAAAAACAATATTGCCATGGATTCTACTTTTACTGTTATAATATACTTTAATAAGACAGTACAACTATTCTGTGCAATGACCTCAGTATTTTATATAGGCTGAAGAAGATACTCACTCTGAACTGCTGCTCCTTCATTGGGGTTAGAATATCCTTCACCTTTCTGCTTGATTCTACGAATGATGCCTCCATTATCAAATAAATCCTCCCCTTTGAAATCAAGCAGTTCAATCTAAATGAATAAACAAATAGCTCAAACTTTAAATAATGTAACCTCTGCATATAAAAACATATTGACAAAACACAGATGCATAATATCTAAAGACAAATCCATATGATGACTTTTCCAGTGAGCCTGCTTTCCTCTATATTTATAAGAAATGAGATATATAAAATATTTAATTCAGCTATTGTATCCTTTTAGTAACAATATTCTGACAGATATCAGGCACTATAACCAGAGTAATCATGGAATCAGCATTACACCAGACTTTATTCGAACCAATGGTATGTCAAAGCTAAGTCACTCTCATCTAGAAATACTTTTTCCCCAAAATTTAGGATGTTTTTTTTTGTAGTAAGCCCAGCTAAGTATCAATACCTAGTCAAACCTGACTGATCTATAAAGTTGGATAGGAAGCTATAAAAAAAATAATTCAGGGTTATAGTGTAGAATTTAAGTTTTAAAAAATCCACATTAAAAACAATTGTAAATCACTTCCATTTTGTTACTGAGAAAATCAAGCTGTTGAATTAAAGGAGTTTATTTTAACTTTTTTTTAGTTTACATGTATTTCACTGATTCTTTATTCATTAAGCTTTGCCCAGGGTTCTGAGTAAAATCAGTGCATTCCTCAGGCTCTGTGCAATGCCGTTTTAGGCATAGCCCTCCATATTCTTTCTCAGTCTGATTATGCAGAACTGGTTTGGAGTTCCTGGTTGCATAAACAGTATTTAAATGATACATTTGCAACAGTTATGCTATTTAAGGGACAAGAGCATATGTTTTTCAAGCCTGATACAATTTTACCCCTGCAACATGATGTTTGAAGCATTGTCATTGACAGACTGTATAATAATAATAATAATAATAATAATAATAATAATAATAATAATAATAATAATAATAATAATAATAATAATAGTAATAGTAATAGTAATAATAATAATAAAGTTGGAAGGGATCTTGGAGGTCATCTAGTCCAACCCCCTGCTCAGGAAGGAAACCCTATACCATTTCAGACAAATGGCTGTCCAATCTCTTCTTAAAGACTTCCAGTGTTGGAGAATTCACAGCTTCTGGAGGCAGGTTGTTCCACTGATTAATTGTTCTAACTGTCAGGAAGTTTCTCCTTAGTTCTAGGTTGCTTCTCTCTTTGGTTAGTTTCCATCCGTTGCTTCTTGTCCTGCCTTCGGGGGCTTTGGAGAATAGCTTGACTCCCTCTTCTTTGTGGCAACCCCTGAGATATTGGAACACTGCTATCATGTCCCCCCTCATCCTTCTCTTTGTTAAACTAGACATACCCAGTTCCAGCAACCGTTCCTTGTAAGTTTTAGCCTTCAGTCCCCTAATCATCCTTGTTGCTCTTCTCTGTACTCAACATCTTTTTTACATCGTGGTGACCAAAATTGGATGCAGTATTCCAAGTGTGGCCTTACCAAGGCATTGTAAAGTGGTATTAACACTTCACGTGATCTTGATTCTATCCCTCTATTAATGCAGCCTAGCACTGTGTTGGCTTTTTTGGCAGCTGCAGCACACTGATGGCTCATATTTAAATGATTATCCACTAGGACTCCAAGATCCCTCTCACAGTTACTACTATTGAGCAAGGTATCTCCTAAACTATACCTGTGCATTTGGTTTTTCTTGCCTAAATGTAGAACCTTACTTTTTTCACCATTGAATTTCATTTTGTTAGATAGTGCCCAATGTTCAAGATCCTTCTGTATCTTAAGCCTGTCTTCTGGAGTGTTGGCTATTCCTGCCAGCTTGGTGTCGTCTGCAAATTTGATGAGTTCCCCATCTATCCCCTCATCCAAATCATTGATGAAGATGTTGAAGAGTACTGGGCCCAGAACAGAGCCCTGGGGCACCCCATTACTCACTTCCCTCCATGTAGATGCAGTTCCAATGAGGATAGCTAACCAATTCACAATTGTAACACAAAGTAGTTGGGGGCATAATTTAGCTCACTCAAACTTCCCACTAATGTAAATTTGTCTCATAGTTTTTATAGAACATTAACAGAAATTTTATAATTAAATAAAAATCACAAGTCCAATGCAAGATAAGAAATTCATAATGTTTCTTCCTGTGAAGGCAATATATTTTTATTGGCAACCCTTTCAACAATTTTGGAAACATTTTGTGGACTGCAAATAATTTTGTGGCTAGTGTCTTTTATGTTACAAAAGTTTGAAAGATAACAACAAATCAAGTTTTATTCATGTTAGCAATATTTACAAGATTTATATGGATGGAAAGGTAGTTTTTATATCTTTAGTTATAAGATTATGTTTTCAGAAGGCAGTAATTGTATGAAAATGTTTCCAAAAGTTGTGGAGCTTTAAAGCTATCTAGCATAAATAGCTGGTTCAGATTACTGTTTTATCCACTGAATGAAAAAAAATGGAGAAACAGAAAACTGATTTTAAGTACCCATTTCATCTCAGAAATTATACTTCTGTTTATACAACCTAAAAATGCATTTGCCTTCCTTGCAGCCACATCACACTACTGGCTCATATTCAATCTGCAATCAGCTACTGTGCCAAGATCATTTTTGCAAGTACTGGTATCAAAGCAAGTATTTGGCATCATGTATCTATCTGTGCACTTGATTTTTGTTTCCTTAAGTATTTTGCATGTCTCTCATATTTAATACTGTTATTTTCAATCAACTTATTCCACTTTACAAGATTATTTTTATTTTTATTTATTTCTTCCAGTGTATTAACTATCCCAGCCAATCTTTTCTCATTTGCAAAACTGATTAAGCATTGCTTCCACCTCTTCATGCCTCATTTTATGTGTAAGACTGGATTGCCTGCAGACTTTAACTTTTTTAAAAAAATATTCTGATTACCTTCTGCAAGTACATTTTCCCAGAATAAGAAATACAAACATGAATGTTATTGGTTTTATTGTTCACAGCTCCCATATGAATTATTTTAGCAAATAAATGTATTAATGATATAAAAGCATAATTTACATAGTTTTTATACATTTATATTTTATTGTAGTTCCTTTAGAACCATGGAATTTGAATACTTCTAACAAATAAAAATAAATAATATTTGATAAGCTTACCTCAAAAAAGAGGGTTGCATTTGAGGGGATCTTTGGTACACTACCAGCAGAGCCATATGCATATTCTGGCCTACATAGCAAGTGGCAGATCTCTCCTCTTTTCATGGTGGCGACCCCAATATCCCATGCTTTGATAACCTGACCTAACATAAGGAAAATTTCAATTTAATAATTTTGTTCAGTAAGCTTTTCTTGAACCATTTAGAAATACACAGTGTCATGGTCAAGTGACAAAACAGGGCACTGTACTAAGCTTTAAACTGTATGCCTCAGTGACTTTTTTATCTGACAGTTTAAATAAAGTGTAAAGTGCTTTATTGAAGTGGCACTCATTTCAGCAAGGAAGTTCTGCATAATCATCCAATTCAGACTTTACATTACACTGGATTTTAGCATGATCTGCAGAAGCCTTCAGCTGCTTGTCTTCCAAGTATGAAGTGGCTGGAAAGGAAGACAGCTTAGGAAATCTTTTTCAGGGTTTCAACTCCTTCCTGCATTTTGGTCACAGTGACAGCCACGTATTCTGTCCAGACTATGGTCAATGTGATTTTTGATTAGGGGAATCCCTCCTTCTTTTTGCTCCCACATGAAAGCAAGTGGTAATTACTTTCACTTCTCTGGGTATGGCTTTTGAGGGCAGATGAAAGCCCCCTCCCTGCCTGCCCCAGTTTTACACTTCTCTCTATTACTTAGGCTAAAAAAAGGATCCTTGGCAGAATTCTTGTCAATTCTGCCTAGCTAAAAGTAAAAACAAAAACAAACTTGGCATTTCACTGGTCCTCTGCTAAACCTGTTCAAACAATAGTATTTTTTTTAAAAAAAGGCATAGCCAACATTTCAATGTTCTACTACTGAACCTGAAGAAAAGGCATTTCTTGGCAGGCAGCCCAGTACAAAATGGCAGGCAAAGGCAAAGGCAGAGGGTGGGGGTGGAGGAGGGCATGATGCCCATCAGAATAAAGAACAGCCAATTGCAAAAGAGGCATTTGTGTAAGACAAAGAGAAGCACAGCAAAAAGAATGGACTGTTAGGCTTATTGCAGAGGAGAAAAACAATTACTTTTGATGAAAAGCAGAGGAAGTCAGGTAAGGTCACCTTCCTAGGAGCCTAAAATGGCTGAAAACAATGTAATCTGTTTGTGCCCTTACCAAGGTGTGGGTAATCTCTATTCTAACTGGGCCAAGCAAAAAGTGCAGATCAGCCCTTAATCTCACATAGTGCTTAAGCAGATTTTTTAAAATAAAAAAAAACGCAATTCAAACTATGTTGTTTTATTACACTTTGACACATCAGAAAAAAAAGGAAGATTTCAATGGAGCTGCAACCTGATAATCTGAAAGCATTCCCAATGTCCAGGAATTAGAGCAGAATCATTTTCATATGAATGGAAATAGCAGGATGCCCTTCTCTCTTCTTGCCCAGATTCTCCTTCCATGCTCAAAATCTGCTCCAGAGCAGGTTTTGTTGATGAATGAATGACAGGCTGAAAGAAATTGTCTCTTTCCATTCTGATAGCGGAAGCCATTGTAGTAGCTGATAAACATCCCATCCATTCTACTTTACTTTTAAAATTTAGCAAATATTTGACTATATTTCTTTAAAATGTTTGTTTCTTTCCACTGTTAAACATATTTTCAGTTAGGTGCATTAACAGTAGAAGGTCTGATGAAAATCTCTAGATTAGAAGTACTACGGTTGAAAACAAATCCTGAAAAAGACTTTGGAGAGCTGATTGTATTCAGATGACAGCTACATGTGCTCCAATGCTTAGAGCAGGCATGTCAAACTGCCAGCCCGTGGGCCAGATGCGTCACTCTGAAACCGCGCCCACCCATTGCCGGCAACGGGGGAAAAGTCGCGATACGTCGTGTGACGTGACGTGATGTCGCGAGTTTGACATGCCTGGCTTAGAGGGCCATTTGACACAAATGATTATGCTGCTTGGCAGCTATGCCAAAATTCCTCAGATGAAAAAGAAACTTACTGTGTCAAAATTGTAAGATCTGCCTTTTTTGTAAAACCAAATCAAAAAGATACAGTATTGCCATTAGCCAAAGTATTTTTCCACAGTCAAAATAAACAGTGACATGCAGTTTTATATAATGTATGTATTTTTATTAAACTATTTCAGATTGTAACTGATGGGAAAGGAAGATACGTATTTTTATGTTCCGTCAAAACTGAAAAGCATATACAAAACTAGCATGTCAAGAAGAAAGGTCAGTCATTTGATTCCCCACCCATAATCAGTAACAGATACATCACATGAGGTCACTAATCATGTAAATTTTATTCACATCTGAAAACTCCAGGCTTGCTTTAAAAGTATTTATAAACCTACAAGAAGCTGGCCATTGCACAATGGGTGGATGAAGATTTCACCATCTGATAATTCTTAATGTTTACAAATAAAGCAAGTCTTGTGTTAGCCTTGATGGTAAACTGGAAATTTAGTCCCTGCCTGGAAAAAGGGAGTGAGCATATATGTTTTGCTACTCATGCTTGCACAAAAACATTAGGAAGTATCTTTTTCAATTAAATATGGCAGCATACTTTCTGAATTATAGAAGTGATGGTGCAGCAATATATCCCATTTTCACAAGAACTGCTAAGGGCGAATCTATCCTAGAAACCTAAATTATTAGAGCAAATTAATATAATAACTTCATTCAAGAAACTAAGGACTTAAACATTATAAACACATATACAAAGAATTTTCCTCTAAAAGGCCTCTAATCTTATGACAGAAATATAATTTTCAAGCCTTCCAGCTTGTGGTGGGAAACTGTAAGAATTAAACCATTTTGTAATGTTTGCATCTTCAAAGCAGCCAAAAATACCATCTCAAGTTAAGGTCAGCACTTCATAGCAATATTATGAAGGAAAAAAATACAGAATGCTTGATTTGCTGGATAGTGACAGATCCATATACTTGCCAATTCTTAAGAGTTTTCTCTGCTCTTATAGTCTTTCTGAAAACAGGATTATATACAAATATATTGTAATTTTGTTGGAAAAAAACCCCATTTATATCCCTAAAGCTCTCTTTACCTTTCTCCACCTTTTCCACTCTTTACCTTTGCCCAGGCTGAAGATAAATGGCTCATTCCTGTCACGGCTGGAATCAAACTTTTTTCCATTGGCCAGCTTTCCTTTGTAATGGACATAAACTTTGTCTCCAATCATAGGAGATTCATCCTTATTTCCTGGTTTCTTCACAATCTAGAATTAGGATATAAAAACAGGTAAGGTAAGAGGGAGTGTCCAATTCCTGGCCAATGAACCATAATAAGAACTGAATGATAAACAAAAACTTGGTGGACAATACACCAGCACACATTAAAAGTAACTATAAAAATGTAAGGAATTTATTATAAACTTGAATCTCTCAAATATATGGGGGATTTGGTGTTTGTTTCATTCATTGTAGAAATGCTATAAAATGCTATTTATTTTAAAAAAAAACTGCACATTTTGCTGTAGTATCCAAACTGGTTCTTTTATTTTATACTATATTCAACTACAGTATCCGTTTATGATCTAAAAAACCCAGGCAGTTTGGCCACAAAATACTGAAAAGTCATATGCAATCCTGTATGTCATTGTGGCTTCTACATCTAGCTAAATTCCCCTTTTCATATTTATCATAACGAGATTAAATTTGAAATGTAAAGTTACTGAAATATATATTTTTCAGGAGCTACTGGTAGTTTTAATTCCTCTCAAACACTCAAAATGGTATAAATGTGTTATACAATATCCTGTACTTATCCTACTTTTTTTTTTTTTGCTTACCGTATGTTAAACTTTACTACAGACAAGCTAGGAAAAGGGTGCTGCCATTTGAGTTGGAATGTTTCTAAATTGTTATGCTTGGGAAAGAACATTAATTTCTCCTACACTCTCACCTTCAGAACTCCTCGATCTTTATTTGGTGTTATATCTTCACCTTGTTCAGCAAGAGTTGCTGCTTGGACCTCGCCTTCCTTCTTTGTAGCCTCATCAGTTGTCATGGTCTCATTTCACAGGCAGAGCCTTTGCAAACAAATACAAACTTGAATGATTTAATCAAACGTTACTCCAAATGCTGCCATCTATTAGATGACAATTTCTCCATATGTTAATAATAAATGAATATAAACAGTACAATCATTAAAAAATACATGACTGGAGTCTTTGCACTCCCGTGCAAGAAGCTGATAATGACAGTGGTCAAAGTCATTTCGCTATCTCCATTTTTTCCTCTTACCATCTTGTTTTTATTCCCATTCCAGTAAAGCCTAGGAGGCATGTTAGTTTTGTTGTTTTTAACTGGAATAAGAAGTGGGTTGAACACATAGGTAGCACAGGTCACCAGCTGTAACCCCAAAAGGCTATTTGGTTCTTGACACAAATGAATTAAAAGGAGGAAAGAAATAGATTACAATTCAGGAAGATCACACATCTTAAAATGGAACAGAAATATTTTTAATAAATAATAAATTTATTAGCACCTGATTATTGTTATATGTACATTTAATAAATAAATACAATTATTTCTTATTAAAGCATCAATATGATCACTTAAGAAGGTTAAGGAGATTGTTCTTCTACAATGGTTGGAAACTGATCAAAGAGAGAAGCAATCTGGAATTAAGGAGAAACTTCCTGACAGTGAGGACAATCAACCAGTGGAACAGCTAACCTCCAGAAATTGTGGGCGCTCCATCACTGGAAATTTTCAAGAAGAGACTGGACAATCACCTGTCTGAGATGGTATAGATTCTCCTGCTTGAGCAGGGGGCTGGACTAGAAGACCTCCAAGGTCCCTTCCATCTCTATTCTATTCTAATATTGTTTGAATTTGGACCTATTTTTGCTACTGTTGGATGTGGAAAAATCTTAAGATAATACCTAATAATGAATAAATAAATTAGAACAGAATTTGTATAATTTCCAAAGTTACCCAGCTACCTCTAACTTTATCCTTCAGAACAACATTTATCTCTATTTTTTCATTCCTGCCTCTCGAAAAAAAGAGAAGAATGGGTGAGAGAACAAGAAAAGGCAAAACATTTCATATATCATAGTAGAACTTTCTTTAAAAAGGTCACTTTGGAGAGACATTTGTTTTCCCGAATGTGACACAGAGAATGTATTTATTGACATGCATTTATATCCAGCCTTTCTTCTGAGAACTCAAGATGGTTACATGGCAGTCACCTTTAAGGTTTATCTCCCCCCGCCTCCCCCCTCCCAAAAAACCCCACTGCAAAGGCTAAGCTAAGAGACAGTAACTGGCCCATCACCAGTAACTGGCCCAACTCTGTGATCAAGTGAATTATATTTACACTCACACAGAGATAGAACACTATACTCTTTTCTGAAGCATATTTTTTTTTCTACCCATGGTTCTGAAGTAATCAAAACAAGACAGGAACAAAAACAACAAAAATAACTGATGAAGTAAATCTGGAAGAATTGAGCTAGATCCTGGGTTGGATAAAGCAGGATCCTAGGTTGGAAAGACCAGCAGGGGAAAACCAGTTCCTGGAATGAAAAAAAGAATGGATTTAAGGAGCAGATAGAAGAAGACAGAGGGATATATCCTGGATCAGGAGGTAGGACTGATGATAAAAAAAAAGCAGCAACAAAGTGGACAGGAGCAAAATGGGTAGAATGGGATGAGCTGGTAGAAAATAAGATGGGGGGGAGCAGAAGGAATTGCCAGGAAGAAAAATACAACCAAACAAGATAGAAAGGAAAAGAAAAAAAGAGAGAAGGGAGCAAGAATACTTTGTGAGGTGATGGAGGAAGAGGAGAAAAAAACTTCTTAAGTAGATGTTGTTGTTTGATGGTATTAGAGGTATCATTGCAGGATGTAAGCTGTTCCAAGTACAGTAAAGCTGCCTTTTGCAATTGACTGATAGTGATTTTGTCAAGGCCAATAATGTTCAAGTGCTGCCCCAGATGTTTTGGGATTGCATCCAAGGCACCTATTACTGTTGGTAATATTTTTGTTTCTCTTTACCAAAGTCCTTCAACTTCTATTTGCGTGTATTTGAATTTTATGGTTTTCTCCAATTTTTTTTCTTCTATTCTGCTGTCTCCACGTACCGCACATCCACTATCCAGACTTTTTTGTCTTTCTTCTTATTATTACAATACAATACTATATTTGTGAGTTTGATTTTGCCTGCCCAGAATGTCTAGAACTAGACAATTCATAAATGTTAATCAATAAAGAGAAAATAATAAAATAATCGAACTGCACGAAAAGGGAGTTTGGAAAAATCAAATACAATTTTGTTCTAGAAAGCAACATTTGACAAGGGTTTAAGTGGAGAATCATGCCTGATCTTTAATCAAAAAGACAGATAATTACACTCAGGCACATATTACTGACCATCTGTAGCTATGATTTCAACTCAACTAAAGAAAAATATGTTCAGTAAAGCTGAAGAACATAATTCTAGCATTTTAATTGTTCCAAATCTGTTATTTGAAAAACACAATCCAGCACATTAGTGGAAGACACCGAAAATATTGACAGTCATTTAATATTTTATTTTTTCCAAATTGAGATGGCTGGCAAACAATAGATGCTAGCAAAATGAAGTATCCATCTGTGCTACTATTATAACCCAGAATTTCAAATACTAGAACATTAGGCCACTTTTTTCTGAACTATATTTTATAATAGAAGTCACAGATGAATCTTTTTTTCTTGTCTGTATAGCACTTGCCTATAAAGTCACCAAATCACCAAGAGTCAGACATAACTAAATGGTTAAAACAACAAATAACAACATGATAGTTTATATTTTAGTATCAATCATGTGATTTCTGATGCTCCCTGCCAGCTTCCCACAGAGAAAGTAAATGGGGAAGCCTGCAGGAAGTCAAAAGTTCCCCCCACTCTGATTTTTTGCCCACCCATGATCACCTATGTTTATCTATTTAGATCAGAAAATGCTGATCCAATGGGTAATGTGTATCTGTTTTAAAAATAGACTTGATGCCTTTTTAACACTATCATAATTTTCATTGAATATGATACTTATATTATTGCTTATTTTGTTTTCATTCAGTCCAATAAAAAATTGCACCTAAAAAGGACATTACAGCTAAATATCACTGAACATGAATCTTGAACTATGAGAGAGAGAGAAAGAGAAAGAGAGAGAAATAGAGGGAGGAAGGGAAGGATTGCTCAATTTAATAAATGCATATCAATGCTAGTAGGATCCATGGCAGAAGAAGCTAAAGAGTAAAAGAGCTTAAGGACACTGAGAAAACAAGAGAAATTAAAAACCCAATTACAAATACTTCCAATGAAGAAAAAAATGAAGGACAGCTATCTCAAAATCTCAGTGAAATTCTGAAAGTAAGGACATCTTTTTTGTTTAAATGTTAAGTAGTAGAAAGGAGGACAGATCATCACAGAAGAAATACACTGAACAGGAACAGTAAAGACAGTGTCACAAATGTTCAGAATGAGCTGAGACTGGCCAACAATATTAAGAATAAAGAAAGGATTCTTCAGGTATGTTCAAAATAAAGACAAAATAAAAGAATAAAAATATAGTACCAGTTGCTCATGAAGATGGCAAGATGCTAACAGATAACAAAGAGAAAGCAGAGCTATTTGATGCTTACTTTGTCTCAGTCTTCCCCAATAATAGGAAGATACTTCATCAGAGAACTTGAAAAGCAAGATGAAGGGATAGGACTGAAGTTCAAAATTGGCAGAAGCCTAGTCAGAGGATATCTATTTATTTTAAATGAATTCAAATATCCATTCCAAGAGACTAGAATGCAACTCTGGTAATGGTCAGGCTAAAACCTTACACATCGTTAGGATTATCTTGAAGTGTAAAATGACTGGAGAGGGCAGATATTAACTCTATCTTCAAAAAGAGCAGCCAGCAAATTTCAGGAATTTAGAAAACAGTAAAATCTCAAAAGTCAGGAAGGCTCTAGACCAGTGATGGCGAACCTTTTAGAGACCAAGTGCCCCAAAACCGCCCCACCCCCACCCTGTCCCTGCTCTTCTCCCCACCCTGCCCCCCGCCCTCAGGGCCACCCACCATCTCCACAGCCCACTGCAGATCGCCCAGGCAGCCCAGCAGCACCATGGCAGCCATGCCCTCCGCCCACGCCCCGCAGAATCATCTGCGTGCGATGGGGCGCAAGGGCAGATTCTTACCCGGCTGCCATGTCCTTGGCTGTGCTGCTCCACATGGGCTGCACCCAGGGGCAACTCTCCTCCAGGGGGCTGCTGGTGAGGAGGGGGCCGCGGGAGGAGGCCGGGCTGGGGTGATGGTGCGCGTGCCCACAGAGACGGCTCTGAGGGCCGCCTCTGGCATGCGTGCCATAGGTTCGCCACCACTGCTCTACACTAGCTCATGGAGAGTTTAATAAATATAGTAAACACCTTGAAAACAATGTAATCATTATCAGAAATCAGCATGGACTTGTCAAGAATAAGGCCACCACATATACACTACAAACATCTGGAAAACCACTATATACAGCAAATAGATACAGGCTTTTGCAATGCAGATATAGAAACCTAAGTCAAGAACAATTCTTGCCAGATTAACATTTCATTTTTTGATTCTGGAATTTCCTTATTGGATAATGTGAATGCTATAACTATAACGTAACTTGATTTCAATAAAGCATTTGCCAAAATACCCTGATGGCATTCGAATAAACTAGCTACTTAAGTATGGGCTGGATTGCATGATTTACTACCATTTCATTTTGCATTGCTTTTTCTATATAGTTCAGAACTTTTCTTTAACATTATCTCTTATTCTGGATCCACTACAGGAAAGTTCAGTTCTAGTTCCACATAGACCTCCCAGGACAACACCTAAGGCTTATAAGAGATTAAAAGATTTGGGTAGGTCTAGACTTAAGGGGAAAGAAGAAGAAAAAATATGATAGCATTCTTCAGTTAGCTGAAAAGATAGCATGCAGAAGAAGGTCAAAACTTCCTCTTTCATTCTAATCTGCAGATGGAATAATGAATGAACATTCCAGTTGAA